GGGGGGGGGGGGGTTTGAAAGCTTCGGATGTGGAGTTCCGGCTTTGGTGTTTCGGGTTTGCATGAAGGTTTGTGGGGTCCATAGCTTCAGGGGGACAGGGCAGCCTTCTGGTCGCAGTTGATCAGTTCCCTACAAGACTTTCTGGTTTTGAAACCCGTCGTTTGAGTTTTAGAGGTCTTAGAGTTTGGCCACAGTGTTGCCTGCTCAGTGCTTCGTGCGGGTTTCGGTGATTGCAGGGTTTGAGTCTTTGTTTTAGGCCTCCTAGAAGATTGAAATCTACCTCTGTGGTTCTTGTGCTGGCTTTTGCTCACGTGCAATCTTGGTGTTCTGATTCGGTTCCAAGCGCTTCAGGATGTCGGTGATCAGTGAAGGCCGAAAGCTGCAGTCTCCCAAGAGCTCCCAAAGCCGCCAAGGAGGCAACCCTGTTCAGCAGCCGGAGATCGTGACGGCTGAGGCTGGTTGGGGGGGGGCCGGGATAGTTCAGTCCATGAACTCAACGAAGTACGCTTTGAAACGGCCCTTGCCGGAAGTTCAACACATCTCTGGGCCCTGGATTGTCTGACGTTTAGATCGTCACCTCGTAGCATGATCCTGATTTGAATAAGATTTCATTCCGGCCGGCCAACCAGCCTTCGAGCCGTGATGCAGCTGCATAGAATTGGCCACATTCTACAAAGCGCCTGATGCGAGAGAACACACAACCCCAAACCCCCCAAACCCCCAAGAACCAGAGCTGCCCAGAATCTCTCCGGCAGGACTTCATCGAATCCCTTCGAGGTCGCAACTTGAAGGTCATCCTCCAAGGCAAGGCACCGTCACCGCTTCTGCCGGTTGCCTTTTTTGTTTAGGGTTTAGGGGCGGAGTTTTGCGCGGCCTTTGCGGTCTTCTGCCAGTCATGCACGTTTTGATTTCCGTCAGTAGTTGCTAAATGGCTGTTTGTAGCCGCTGAGGTTTCGAGCTGTCACCGCGTGTCTTATATCAATACATATCTGCCATCGCGTACTGCGTCTTTCGTGAATACTTCTTGTGTGCCCTTTCGTCTTTCCATGCGTGTTGTCGTTTGCTACCACGGCTCTACCGTGAGGCGAGCTGATCTCCGAATTCGTGGACCACCCGATTGCCACTTGGATGCCGAAGTACGGTTGAGTGCAAGTACAGTTAGGAGATCGCTGCCTCATCTGTGTACGTGTGTAGTGTTCTCCTTGTCCTTGAGGTCTGGCCGTCCGTCAACGCAATGGCTGAGAGCTACCGGCTGGCGCAGGAGAATCCAGAGCTAGGCACACGGGGACGCAGTTACCTGTTGGGTGGGTTAAGGGTCTAGGTTGTCGTGGGGTGCATCTAGGTGTCATTCAGGGCCGTTGGAAGTTCGGGATCAAGCCAGGCTTCTGGGTCCAATTTCACCCCTTCGATTGCCAAGTATGTGCAGGAACGTGGATGTTTCAGAACACACATGAATCGTCGAATGTTCGCCAGGCCAGGTATCCCGCGAGACTTCATTAGAGCCTGTCTTCCCTTCGCCCCTCAGTCTTGAACCTTCTGGCCCCAACAAGATCCACAAGACAACACTCAAGGATCACAGGAAGCAGCGCGAGTTCCATCCTGTACTCTCGACACTGTCCCTGCTTCCTCGCAACTGCTCGAAGGGCAAAACAGCTGAAGTACCCAAGCTACCATGAACCCAAAATCCCGACCTCAGGCGCAGCCATTGGCTTCAGCCACTCGGCAGAGTCCTTGGGGCCTTCGCTGAAAGTCCCCACGGGTTAGGGCTTTTCAGGCCTGAGGCCTGGAACTGAGACCTGAACTGACTCAATCCCAATGCCAGTTTCAGCCCCTGAAGCCGAAAAATTCAAAAGCCCTTCAACTTCAACTCAAAATAGAGAACCTCTGGTAGTAGTAACGTATCTAAAGCCCAAAGAGAAGCCCGAAATCCGAAGCCCCGAGCCCTTTAAGTTTCCACGAGACATAGCGTCCGCCGAGGCGGCTACAGGATGAGCAGGCGCAAAGGGTGGAGCTTTCGGGTTTCTGTTAGGGGCCTAATTCGGGGGGTTATTCGTGGCTCGCGTTGTCTCGTGAGGTTTTGGTAGAGAGCTTCCAGGGTTTTGGGAGCTTTGCAGCTGGAGGGTTTGGAGCTTGTTGCCTTTTTGGTAAGTTTTCTTTTTTATTTTATTGTATTTTTTTTTGTTTGGGGGGGGGGCGGTTCACCGGCTTGAAGCTGGAGGACACTTCTCACAGGTTTGAAAAATCGCATAAACCTATGGTTTCTCTTCGAAAACCGAAGCTCTGAGCCCCAATGTGCGCCTCATCTCAGCTCTTCTCTTCGTTTTGCGGAGGTTTCTTCACATCTGCGAGTCGGCGGACGACCTCGTTCTGCAGTCGCAGATGCAGCGCGAGCTCGGGCGCCGCACAGGCGGGAGGGGGCCCTTGGGGGGATTAGAGTAGGGTTCAGGGCCTAGGGTTTAAGGTTTAGGAAGCTTTGCAGTTCTTGCCGATAGGGCGGATCTAGGGTTGGGCACGCCTTTGCTGTGAGGAAGGGCTGCTTTATTTTGGTGAGTTCTTGTCCAAGGCTCAGCTTTGCACAGCAAGCTGGGGGGTGCAAGGCTGAGGCTTGTCTGGTTCTTGGATCTTCACTCTTCAGCCATGCCTCGCCTCGTTCTCACTGCCGCAGAAAGTGTGTAGGGAAGACGCTGCAAAGGCAACAGGACCAGTTTACAGTGTCAAAGTGTCAAAGAGATGTAGTCAGAGCTACGATGACAGTAGGAAGTGGGGTTTGCAATGCAGGTTGGGGTCTAAGGTGGTCTGCTCCCGTTCGAGGCAGCATTTCATTTCTTGACATCTGCATGGCAGTTCGATCGTCTTCCCTGCGCTTCTCATTTGCTTGGACCAGGAACGTTATTGTTGTTCTGGTTATGATGATGGTTACTGCTATTGCATTCAGTGCTATCATTTCTATGATTACGATTATTACTATTCGTAGAAGAACCTCCGAACATCGTCCCAATGCGCGATGTTCGGAGGCACCTGCTTCCAACGGTGTGTCGGCCAAGACGCCTCAAATGTGACCTGGCAGAAGTTTCCGATCGCGTCAAGGCCAAATAGAGCGAAGTATTGTAGCATAGTACCGTATAGCTACAGGCACATGGAAGAAGGTGAGAATTGCAGCGGTTGGGGCCAGCCCTACAGCCTCAAACATTCGGGTTTGTTGCTTCTGTGTCCGACTGCATTATGTTGGTGCATGGGGCATCGAAGCGTATGTGTGTGGTTAGATCCTCAACACTAAGTGCCAAGCCCGCAAGCCCGCCGGAGCCATATGTCTGGACAGAGGTTTGGAGGTAACATGCTTGAGATGGGGTTTGCGTGAGGTCTCGAACAGCGTACTTCGGGAGCCGAGTGAGTCTCAGGTAAGGCCTGCGCTGGAAACCCAAGCACTCCAAGAGGGTAAGCCGTACGCTTTGAACCCACTTGGACCTCTCCTAATTAACATCGCTGAATCGGAGACGAGGCCATGTGGTCCACGACGTACGACATCGATCAGAAGCCACTGGGCCTGAAAATCTAGGGTCAGCTCTGTGCTAAGAGGCCTGCTGTCCAGTTTAGGGTTCCCAGCGCAAACTCAAAGAATTCAAACGTCGGCGCAAAGGCCATGATCGACGAAAATGGTTTATATAGTTACATCCTTGCGTACCCTGCTTTCATATGCTTTCTGGTTTTCTTATCCTATGTAATCTCCCCGAGGTTCGGAACGAACTACCACCAGCGCTTCCAGGATCTGTTTTGCCTGTGCTTTCACACTCGGGTTCCAGACGCGGCGATGGGAGTTGCTCTTCAAGCCTTGTAGTGTTTCGGATTGAAGTGTTAATTAAATGGGTAGTTCTCTAAAGTAGGGTCCCTTTTCAGGTCCCCAATAAAGTACGGCACCCTTATAGCAAGGACCCCCAAAATTTAGAGAACTACCCAAACACTCCCTTGCTCACAAAAGTTGCTAGGGGCTTGGGCGTTTCGCAGCGTTCCCCTGCTCGTCCCGGTGCAACAAAAAGCCTTCATCAGCCCCTTCATTTAGGGGTTTGGGGTTTAGGGTTTAGGGTTTAGGGGTTAAGGGTTTAGGGTTTAGGGTTTAGGGTTTAGGGTTTAGAAGAGTTGGTTTGAAACCATGCTAACAGGGTTCTTCTTAAGAGGCTAGTCTTGGTTAGCATGCTAGCGACCGAAACCGCATGAGTAACTATATCATAGTTGCAGTATGTCTTCATATCCCAAAAGTATGGCAACCTAAGCCAAACTCCTTAAGTTGCTCAGTGACAGTCCCGAGATTTTTGCTAATATTGTAAGAAAAGTACAGCCCAACAACTGTGTTCTGACTTTGCTCGGGCCCCATGGTATCCCTCCCTAAACCCTAAACCGTAGTTCTTAAGGCACCCTTTGTTTGGCGCAAGAAAAGCCAGGATTTCATGAAGATGGCACAGAGCAAGAACTTGGTCCTGGGTGGCGCGATGACTGATGTAAAAGGCCACTGGGATTCAGGGGTTTAGGGTTGAGGGCAGAGTTCAGGGTTTGAGGTTTAGGGTTTAGGGTTTAGGGGTATGGGCATGCTGGCTAGCATGTGGGGCTCGCGGTTTCGGATTGAGTTTGAGAGCCAAACTTTACAGACCAAGCTTTGTAGTCAGCTGCGAGGCTTCAATCGAGCCCTTCGACCCGTGTTCCTGCAAAGGCTTGTTCGGGGTTTTGGGCTTTTGGGTTCGTCAAGCTGGATGCATGGGAGCTCTTTGAGTGGATCCTATGACCTCTGGCAGCAAGACCCCCGCAGGCGATCGGAGCTTGAATCCCTCACAGCAGGAGGTGCTGGGGCTAAGGGTCATACCAGAGCTCAAAAAGTCAATTTGGATCTGGGCCTGTGGAGGTGTCCATAGGACATCGTTTGTGTGGTGGTGGTATAAACTGAAGGGACAGGGACATTCTGACACAGTGTTGGGCAATGTAGACCCCTGAGCAAAGCTCCGTGTCGTTGACAGGGGTGTAACGGTGCAAAATTGATGCAAATCTAGCCTTACGATATGGCGGTTTGTGAATCAGGGGCCTGCAGTACAGTTAGTCCAGCTTCGAAAAGGAGCCACAAGGCGTTGTTGCACAATAACCCTTGCACTGCGAATCCACGGTGGAGCGAGGCATCCGACTCACCACACTCCTCGGCTATTGCTAGGGTTCCTGTCATCGACCACACTTTCAGGCGGGGAGCCGGGAACCCGAGGCTAAGTAGCCTCCATTTCTCGGCTCTCCTGCTTGACTGGCTGCATCTTCGCATTGCTGAGAGGACCCCGACCTCTTCGTGCGCGTCGCCGAGCGGAGGCCCAACGGCGGCATTGTCCTCCGTGGCTGCAAAGCCCACCAGAGCCTCGCCTCGGCTTCTGGCTCTGTCTGGGTCTGGGGCTTTCGTCTCGTTTTTGAGTTTCGTGGAGTGTCGGGCAGGGGTGTGTGGAATTGAGGTTGTTGTAATCTGTTTGGTGGTTGCTGCAGCTGTTTTCGGTGCTTTTTCGAGGGCTAAGGACGCTTCCCCGGGTTATCACAGGAAGCACCGCGGGACGCTATGCCCTTCGCTTCTCCGGTTCGTGATTTAGCTCTCGTGATTCCTTAACTGGCTGGTGCGTCCTAGGTCTCACAGCATAGAGTGCCCCGAGGACAGGGAACCTCAACTCCCACTGGATGATCCTCATGCCCGGGAGTAAGATGGAAACTGCTGACAAGGAGCTGGGAATTTCGCTTTCGTTGTTCTGTTGCCGGGAGTGTCAGGGTGGTAAACCGAAGCGCAGAGCCGTAGAGAAGTAGCAGCATCTTGAGCCATTAGCTCTGGATCCTAAGTTCCGGGGTTTGGGATCGTTATGAGACCCCACAGCAACCCGATAAAGCTGCGGAGATGCAATGCCAGTCCAAAAAAAAAAACATATGGATAGTTCTCTTAATTAGGGTCCCAAAATGCCGTCCGATGTCTGGAACCGAAGAAGGGACCCTAAGTTAGAGAACCGCCCTTTGAAACCTCCGCTCCTCGGGGCAGAGGACTATGCCGTGTCCTGCGCGGTGCCGGTGGATGCTCCGGGCCGCTCCTCCCTCATATCATATTATGTGATGCTATATTATTGTGTTTTGTTATCGTACATCCGAGCATGTTAAAGTAAAGAAGTAAACTATAGTATAGTATAACATATTATAGTGCAGTATAGTACAGTATGTACTCCATCGGTTTTGATGCTGAGCCTTCAACATTTGATGTTAAACTGTTAAACCTTCGCCTTTCACACCGTAATGGGCCCAAGCCGGGCGAAATGACCGCAGCCTGAAAGGGCTCAGTCATGGATGTTGGGCTCATAGGGTCAAGGGTTGAGTTAGGGTTTAGGACATCTTGTCCGAACACCGGGGTTCCTTTAACCTGGCGTCCTTGTGCAGGGTGCTTATCCTGAGAGCGCTGCGTGTTTTGTGCTTTCAGAAGAGACCTTTCAGATAAAGATCTACCAGAACGTGGCCCGCAGCCCACAAGCAGGAGGCGGTAGAGAAGGAAATATGGGGAATGCTCATGACCGTCGTAACGGTAATGCGCATGTGGCTCAGTGGGCCTGGGCATTGATGATGGGGCTGCACGCATCTTCTCTTTCTCTCCCTTGTCACCCTGCTCCTTTATCTCTTCCTCCCAAGGGCTACGTTCTTCTTCTTCTTCAGATGGTCTGCTGGAGAAGAAGTGAAACGAAGTGCCGGGAACCCTAACCCTAAAACCCTCATCCGAGGCATCACATACATCTATGGGCGTCAGAGCTGCGACTTGCGGGCCATGGAGCCTGGAATCTTGGCTTTAAATTACCGGTATTTCAATTGTGTGTGTGTGTGTATATATATATATAAGCATATATATATATACACGCATACAATATTGCATTATGCTTCATTATGTTCAGTATAGTACAGCATAGTATAGTATATTCCAGCACCGTAAAGCGTGGTTTAGTACTGTGCAGTACAGCCTAGTAATTATATGATACTTTATTGCAGTGTATTTTGTTATGCTATATCTTATCATTATTCGAATTAGTATACAATATTATGCTGTAGCTGTATTGTATCACTTTATACCCTTTTGTATTACATGGCTTTACAACATATTATATCGTAGTATATTTGCATATCCTGCTTTGTGTTACATAGTCAATGCATTGCAACATAATCTAGCATGGTATAAATAAAATAGTATAGTATAGTATAGTATAGCCGAGTACATGTATGCTATAGTTTTACCATAATAAAATTGCAGCAGAACACAATACGAGACATTACAATGTCATCACCACAATATAACATAGCTTACCTCGTTATGATACAGCATAAGGTAATATGACTCAAGGCTATTTAGTGATACAATACATGGTGATAAAATACAACTTGATATACCATAGCATAATGCACCAGTCTAATCTAACACAATATGTTGTAGTATTATTGTAGAATATCGACGCAAATCACAGTCTGCTGCATTATGTTATATTCTGTTCTGTTCTGTCATGTTGCATTGTTTTTGCTGTATAATGTTGTCGTATATCATATCATATCATACCGTAGCACATTACACTATATCATATTATACTCTATCGCATAACAGTACTAGATCACTTTGTATTATAGATTATACTGTATTCTATCATATCATATGATTTCTTTTACAGCAAAGTTTGAGTTTGTTCAGGGGTTTGGGAGGTAAGGAGTTTTCCCAATCTGCGGCTTGAAGAGCGCAACCTTTGTGATCCCGCAGCAGTTTTGAATTTCAGAAGCCTTGGACTCAGACCACAACACTTGAATCGACAAGGATCCTGTCCGCACTGAGCCAAGGCGACATCGACCAGGGCAATGCGAAGTTCGGCGGACAGGTGCCAGAAGTTTGTCGGTTTTCAGCTTCGCCTCTGAGCAAGATTCACCATCGGCTCCTTTACGGTTCAGGGTTTAGGGTTTGGGGTTTTGGGGTCCAGCAATAGGCCAGGTCCCCAACACCACAACACCCAGACACCCTGAATGTGGCCAAAGAGGAGACCATGACAATCTTCGAGGATGTCTACGTGCCACCTGAGTCGGGACCTCGGCTTCTGGCGAGATGTTGGGTGCTGGGGCTTCGGGGTTGTCTGGGACGCAGTGCTTGGGCCTGTGGTCATGGGGGTTTAGGTTCAGGGACTTTCGGGTTTCGGGTCGGAAGGCTTCTTTTAGCAGTGTAATCGCATGACAGACACCAGAATGACACGAAGAGCAAGAGCAGTCACCGGCCCCGAAACCCTCAAAGGACAAAGTCCTGACACCTTACATTGGAAGTGAGCCCCTGCATTGTCGGGTCAAGAGATTTGGACATTGGCTTGAAGTTAGGGAGATGATGATGGTAGCTGCACCACTTGCAGCTTCAACGGCCCGCCAGGGTCGCCATCACGAACAAAGTCCGTTTGCAGTGTGCAGCTAGCCGCTTAAAGCTTCGAAGCCGGCCCGGGTGCCGTAGCGAATCTGCTTCGGATCAACAAAGCAACTCCCGAAGCCTGAAGCTGCGACTCCCTGCAGCTAAAACCTCGACATGTCGCTGAGGTACGTTTTCATGGACGGGGAGGCCGGCACCGAGCATGTTGTTCTTTAGGCTATGGGTGTAGGCTTTGGAAGACGAAGGAGGCCAGCCTGCAGAGCTTCCTGTCCGGTCCGGAGACTTTGGGTATATTATACATACGGAGCCCCGGGTTGTGGGAAGAAGAGGGCTCGATTCGCAGATGTAGGGATCGTGGTTGCAGATATCTAGGCTTCGAGGTTGCGCAGTCGTCCAGTCCGAAAGTCTGCTCTCCGGCAAACTGAATCCCGCATTCCCGATGCTGAGGATCCTTTGATGCTTACCTTGTTTCTCGGCATGAGCACGCGAAGCGCTGAATGAACAGCCCTTGGGCTTGCCGCAGACATGTAGATACGCGTGGTTTTTTCCAAAAACTACCCCAAGATCGCAAGCCCCCAAACCCAGAATTCCCAAGTTTTGAAACGCGACCGAAAACCAACCCTAAAACCCAGAAATCCCAAACTACCAAAAGTCACACCTAAAAGCCAGAAAGCCAGCAAGGCTTCAGTTTCGAAGTCTCCAACTTTTTTTGCTTGCAGGTGGACTTCACCCAAAGCTTGGTCGAGCGCTTCACGGCCTACCACCGCCGCTAGGGGCCCGGAGTGTGTGGAACTGGCTGCAGGGGGTTTAGGGCTTAGGGTTTAGGGAAGTTTAGGGCTTTGGGCTTTGGGCAGGATCTACACTGCTCGCTTCGAAATCAATGTGTGCAGACTTCTAGTTGCTAGGGTTGGGCACGAACAGCTTTCTGAATAGCCCTAGACTTTTTCGATGGATTTGACGACCCCAACAGGCCATGGATTCAGGCCAGTATAAGGGGCTTTTGGCAGGACCAGTTGTAGCAGGTTTCAACTTGGGACCCGAACTGCCCACAAAGCCGAAAGCTTCATAGTGACCCTAAAAAAACTCAACCCTGAGCCTGAGCCCTGAAACTTTCCAAGCCCCGGCAGGCCCCCTCCCTCTCCCAGGCTCCTACGTTTGCAAAGCCGGGCTTGGCGACGTGATGCTGGGCGCTGCGGCCACAGCACCTGCCTCGGCACTGCATGGTCGAGCTATCTATCTATCTATCTATCTATCTCTATCTATCCATCAATCAATCAATCAATCTATTTGTCTATCTATCCATCTATCTATCTATCCTATCTATCCGATCTATCCTATCCTATCTGGCTATCTATCTGTCTGTCTATCTATCTAACTACCTATCTTGCTAGCTAGCTATATCTATCTCTCCATCTCTCTATCCCTCTATCTCTCTTTATATATATATATATCTCTCTCTCTCTCTCGCTCTCTCTCTCGTCCTTGCTGTTTGTCGCAAAAATGCGTTTATGTATTTTTTGAAGAGGAGATCAATTCACAAAGTTTTTGTTGAAGCCTCTGTTGGTCTCGGCTAGTTTCAGTGCTGGGGTTTCCGTTCAGCAGTTTCTTGTTGGGGCTGCCAGGTTGTGGTGACAGTTTGATGACTTGCTCGAGCCAGAGGTAGGCTTACAAGCATAAGTCCGCCGGTTTTCGATGTCGGGAGAAACACCAATCATCCTGAGCCCTAGCCAGGAACCTGAAGCCCTCCAGCCTCCTTAAACTCTCTCCAGCCTCCAAAGTCTGAAGCCTAAAGCCTGCTCTCAAAGACGAGACTTCCGAGATCAGGGATCTTGAAGGTGAAGGTTCAAACTATGTGACTCGACGGTCAGGTTGCAGACTACAATGGCGTCGCGAAAGCCTCGCACATCAAGGCACCCGTAGAGGTTTTCAGAAATGCATGTAGGGTGTAGAGGTTTAGGGTGGAGGGTCTTGGTTCCAGGGTTTTGGAGTTTGGGGGTTATTGGCGTTTATGGCCGTTCGGGTCTAGAGGTTTAGGGCTCATGGGCTTAGCACTTCCGAGGGGTGCGTCCCTCCCAAACCCCTGAAAACCTGAACGCTGAAACCCATGCTGATCACCTTCAACTCTAAACACTTCAAACCTTTGCGGCGCTTCATCAACCCCCCGAAACCCCCTCGCCCTGGGGAGGACAAGCTGGTGGAGATTGCCTACCTCAACGAGCTCACTGTCTGCTCAAGTTATCGAAACTGAGGGTTCTTGGGGGTGTTGAGAAGCTTAATTTGGGTTTAGTCTTTCGGGGTGTAGGGTTTTTGATCGCAGGTCTTCCGGGGGTTAGGGTTTGGGGCTTGAGTTCGGGGCTTTGGGTCTTTGGTTGAGGGTTGGCTGGGTTGGCGCTATCCAATCTATTTACAACCCCAATCAACGTACTTTAGCCCTGAGCCACGTAATCCTTTGGTAAACAAACCTTGAGGATCATCCAGAAGAGAGAGATTCTCAGAAACCAGGCGACTCGAGCAAAGACACGGAGGCACAGGATCCTTTCAGTCAGTAGCCTATAAGAAGAAATCCTTGAATCTAGGCCTTGGCGTTGAAGGCCGCGTCAGTGGGGGCCGTTGCAACTTTTTTTTTCCGGAGTCCCAGTTGCGTCACTTCCGCAACCATGTGCGTATGTCTCAGAGCGAACCCGAACAAGAATACCGTTCCGGTTGCGAGGAACATTGCGGGAACTGCCATGGCATCGTCCTATGGCGGCAAGGCATTCCTTTGCGAACCGGAGCTCAGAATTGAGGACTTGCGGTTGTCGGTGGGTGGGGTGTGGAAACCGGGCTGAGGGTTGCGCATTCGGGATGTGAGCATGGAGTTTGGGGCTTCCGACAGCATTCAGGGCCAATTTAGGGTCTAGAGGGTGGCTGCAGACTTGAACCTGAATCACCAGAAGCCCTCCCCAAACTCCAGGCCCAGAAACACTGAAAGCCCTAAGGTCCAAATCCCTGAGCTTTCAAGCTCCTCGAGGCTTAAAGAGCCCTACAACGAGCCGCCAAGCTTCCTCACTCCCGCCCGCGCGCAGGCCACACCTTCCGGCAATTTCCTTCCGGATGTCATGTTGCCGGGCTGCAAGCCAAGTTTTCCCCAACAGCCCGAACATCGTTGTGGTCACCTTGAGGAGTTTGGAGTGTCTGGACACAGGGGCTTCAAAATCCAAATCCAAGGATAGGAGCAATGCGGCACCCCCAAACCCAAAGACTGAATCTTGAGTCCTTCAGCCCCAAACATCGCCGAAGAGTGGCAGGATGGCAAACATTTGCAACTCGGCATATACGATGTCCTCCTTGGAGTCTTGTTCCGGCTCTATGTGGTGCTGATGGGGGTTTTTACCTTTGGGGTGTGTTCTGGAAACTTGAGGCGACGAGCTTTCCGGAGCAATCCAGACTTTGGAATATGCCTGAGTTGTGCGAGATGTGGAATTTCTATTTCTCAAGGCAGCAGGAGTCATGCGGTTCTAAGATGCGCTGGGATTTGAAGTTGAGGCGCAGAGGCCCTAGCTTAAGTCTTGCTCAAGCTATTCTGGGGTGTCGGATTCAGGTTAGCAAACGCCAATCCCCATATTGCTTGTCTCCAATCAGATGTTCGGTGAGAATGTGGGATGCTGTTGCCATCGGGTTTCTTGAAGATGCTGACCTTCAATCGTTGAAGTCTTCATCATACCCCGGCTCTGTAAGAAAAAATCAACGCACGAATCAAGCCGACCAGGCAAACACAATGTGACGAAGCTCCCGTACGAGATTTCACGCCTGGCGCAGGAGACGAGAGATCTGAACAAAAACCCTGCAGTCTCGATACCCTAAACCGGCAGGTCTTGAAGCTACTCAGGGCAGACCCTTGAATTTTCCTTGTCCAGTCAGTCAGTTATCATCCAGGTTTGGCGCACAGTGCACAGGTGTTTCGGATTGTGGGAGATTTTCGCTTGTACGCGTTGTCGTGTCACGGCTTTTGCGCTGGCCATGGACTTGAACGCTACCGGCAGGACTTGGCTGGAGGACTCATCGTCACCCTTCCCGCCGACAAGGAATTCCGCCGCTTGCAGGAGATCTTCGCCCCAACTCTCCATAGTCTTGGATCTTGCATGAACTGGTTTACACCAACTTGCGAAGCTTTTTCATGAGGACCCTGCGGCCGTAGAGCTTCGACTGCCTCCGTTGTCCCCCGCTCCCAATCTTGAGAAGCTCCCAGGTAACGATGTGGCCGGGCCCATGTTGGAGAAGTACTTGAAGGTTCGGAGACAGGGTTGGAGGTGCTGAGTTCTGCACCGTGAAGCCTAAGGCCGTCGACCGTCAAGCATCGAGCGTCCCAAGCCCTGGTGCTCGTCTGACAGCCTGCAGACCCTCGTGGAACCCAGAAGACGCGGCAGAGCCATGTAGTGCCACTGCAACACCAGGAACCCGAGAACTATGTGGCATAAGCGAAGCAAGCAGACAGACGGACGGACGGACAGACAGACAGACAGACAGAGACAGACAGACAGACAGACGGACAACCATACCGCGTATGTACGTATTTACGTGCATACCTACGTAGATACAGAGCTATGCATGCATACGTGCCTGCCTGCCTGCCTGCCTGCCAGCCTGCCAGCCTGCCTGCCTGCCTGCCTGCATGCATACACACATACACACAAACCCCTTTACACGCATACACCCTCACACACGTACACGCATTACATTAAATTACATTGCATTACATTGCATTACATTGCACTTCATTACATTACATTACATTACATTACATTACATTATTACATGACGTGACATGACATCACATGACATTACATTGCATTACATGACCTTACATGACATCACATGACATTACGTGACATTACGTGACATTGCATGACATTGCATGACATTACATGACATTACATTGCATTACATTGCATTACATTGCATTACATTGCATTACATTGCATTACATTGCATTACATTGCATTACATTGCATTACATTACATGACATTGCATTACATTGCATTACATTGCATGCCTGCTTGCCTGCCTGCCTGCCTGCCTGCGTGCGTGCGTGCATGCATGCACGCATGCCTGCACGCGCACATACACACATACGTGCAGACTTACGTACGTACTTGCGTGCATACGGACAAACCGACATGCAAGCAAGCAAAAACGCATCTGTAACGTGTTTGGACTTTCCGACTTCGCATTCCGAGCTCGTCGCTGGTATTACCCCAAGACCCTATCTTTCCGACAGGGCAAGAAGGGCGTCACTGTGGAGAATCGTCGACGCATCCTCCGCCTCATCGAGAACATGACCATGGGCAGGACCGACCACCCCCAGGAACAAGAGAAGTAAAATTCCATGTACAGTGCATCGCATAACGTCACATTACGTGGAATACTGCACGTCGGCATGGGGTTCGGGCAATCAGCAATCTAAAGACAGCCGATTAAGTGTTTAGGGCGTGTTGGCTGCCATTCGGCGCTCGTCTCTTCTTGATAATCAGACGTGGCTGTGATACCGTAAAGACGAGCACCGTCACCGCCACCATCACCATAATCATGATGATGATCATCATTATCACCATTTTCGTCATCAGCATTATCATCATCATCATCATCATCAAAACTCATCACCGTCATCACCACCTCAGTATCATTGTGATCTTCGTCATAGTGTCATCCCTGCTGTCGTTATTTTTGCAGTTTCGTTCTCATCACCATCTTCTTTTTTGCCTTTCTCATCCCTGCCTCTATCGGACTCTTTCCCTTGAGTGTAAGCAGAGTCGTCGTGAGATCCTGGACCGGCCAGGAATGCCGTGGGCTACCTCAGCCTCTTTGAAGCACTTGGGTCGAGCTGTTGGTCCCTCGGTTTGTTGTTTTTTGTTGGTCCTACGTTGTTGTGAGTCGGGCTATACCTGATACTGTAGTAATCGCAGGCGAGGGCAGGTTTGCAACATCATCTTCTGTGTCGACACAGCCTCCCGCCTGGCGGTATAAAATACAAGCCTCAGTCCTAATCCTAGCCCCCCTGAGCATCCTAAGACCTGAACCATACATCCTAAATCCTACACCTTGAGCCCAAAATCCGAAACTAGACACCAGAACCATATCCTAAGACTGTTATACAGTACGACGTAGAATAATAGCATACAGCATCATATCATACAAGATACTATAGTATGATCTGGTTTTATGTAATCGCAATAGACTCGACCCGGCCGATCCGCCTTTGCTCGGAGGCGAAAGTCTCCACGGAGCGGGCTCACCGCAAGCACAGCGGGCGGGCGGCTCAGGGGGTGGTTTGGTGCGTGAAGGTTACGGTTCTAGAGGGTTACCCTGACCCTGCAAAATTGGAACCTGGGCTTGAGATGATTTGTGCTTTGGGTTTTAGGTTTCGGGTCTGCAGGCCGCTCTGGGAATTGAACAAAGAGCTCCGAAAACTCGGATCTCCAAAGTACACTGGCTTTTTTCTCAGGAATTCGGTAGGTGGGTTTATTTGCGAAGACTGGTGGCTCGAGGTGTGAAGAGCCGGGTTCAGATGGTCACGTGGCCTGGAGGGTCCACTTACAAAATGAGTCGGTCTTGCGAGTCCCAAACCAGTCGCAGCATAGATTTTGGGGGACGTGAGCGACCCTAAACCCTAAACCCTAAACCCCTAAACTGGAAACCCTAAACCCTAAACCTTAGACCCTAAACGCCCTAAGCCCTAAACCCTAACTAAACGCCCAAATGTTCGGGTGCTTGGACCGGTTGAGTTGTCCAAGCTGCTCCCAGGTCCTCATCCAGCGGCTCTTTGAACTCGAGAACAAGAAGAGGCTCGGGGCAAGAGTGGTGAGGGGTTCAGGGTTCAGCATTTAGGGTTTAGGGGTTTAGGCTAAGGGGGTTTAGGGTTGAGGGTGTAGGGGTTTGGGGTTCAGGGTTTAGGTTTTAAGGGGGGGTTTGAAGGGGGGGTTTGATAGTTGGGATCAGGACCCTGAGCCGAGAAGGTCCGGTAAGCGCACTCTCCCGTTTTGGCCCCCAGATCCAAGGCTTAGCATCCAAACAAAGCCCAGCTTAAATACCCCAAGCCCGAAACCCCCGAATCCGAAGCCTGAGACTCAAAGCTGCCGAATTGCAATGCTGCAGGTTGGCGAAGCACTTGGCTGGCATCGTCGAGTGAATCAGCGTTTCCTGCGCCCTCAAAGCCTCAAAGCCTCAAGCCAAACCTGGAACCCCAGACCCTGTTAGTTGTCGATAGCTGCATCATCAATTCGACGGGACGAGGACAGGACCCCCGACCGGTAAGCGCAGAGCTCCGGGTTTCAGGACAAGCCACAGGTCCGAGCATGTTTTCTTTTGTGACATGGAGTCTTCAATTCTTTGGGCGTGGAGTTTCGTGGGGTTCGGGGTCGGAAGCGTTGTGCTCCGGGGGTCCTTGCCTGTCAGCATCGCCCGATGTCAAGCAGAATTTTTTGTGGTTGGCAGTCCCAAATGCGGAGCCTCCAATGCCGGCATTTCCGGATGCTGACAGAGACGTGTATAGAACTGTTCCCTGGAAGTCCCTATATAGCTCAAGTTACAGTTATAGCATAAGACTATATTCTCAAACCCTGTTCGAATCTTGCAGGTCCGTCCTCGCCTTCCTCTAGAGGATCACGTTACAAAATGCAGCCTTGCAACTCCTTGGACACCTAGAATACGGACCCCCGCACTTCCCCAAGACCCATGAAATGCATTCTTAAAGCCTCACTTCCGAGCCTACAAGCAACACCCCATCCCAACAACTCAGACCCTGCACAAGCAACAACATCCCCGTGCAAGCTACTGCAGAAAGGCTGCCATATTCCTTTTTCATCTGCCACGTAGTTGGAGCACACCCCCAACAGACTACTACCGGCAAGCTACCCATGGCAACTTCGCGGTGCAAAGGAACCCCCGCACGCAAAAGGTTCGTTCGAAGGCCGATGACGGGAGACTCCGCGCTCAGCCACCCTTCGTTTCAGGGAAGTTCTTAGCCCGAGGTATCGCGGCGCGAGATCGTTCCAGCTCAACCCCGGTTCCCTTTCAAAGAAGTCCTGGTCCTGAACTGTATGCCGCCTCAGCCGGCAGTTCCCCATGTCCCCGCGAACTCGCCCGGGACGGAATTCCAGTTGGAAGGCGTCCCCATGTTCAAAAAGCCGAGCGTCAGTTGCGAACATTTGCTGCTCCAGACCCGCAGACCCCAGACTCTCCTACCAGGGCCCTGATGGACCAAACATAAAATATCCCAGCCGAGCATTATGGTGGAGGCTACGTCTCTTCCGGCAGCATCTAAGCCCTCTCCCTGCCTTTTCGGATGCTTCACGCTTACAGACGAACAAGTTTTTGGGGCAACGATCGGTCTTCTCTCCAGTCTCAGCAAGGCCCTGAACCCAGCCTAAACACAGTTCCATACCAAGAAGCTAAGAGAAGGAACCCCCAACAGTCTTCAAACCTCCCTACCCTAGAACCCTAAACCCTGAACCCTAGAACTGGAAAGACCGCCCTAGGAGAGGGGAAGCTTTTAGAAAGCCCAGTGCTTTTCAACTTGAAGCGGCACACCCCGGAGCCAGCTCCTCATCCCAACGCCAAGAGCGCTACACTATGCTTGGAATCCGACCACCCGAAATAAGCTGTTTAATTAGGGCATACGAGTGTAGAAGTTTAAGGGTTTAGTTTTTTTTGTTTTTTTCCGGGTTTCTTGGGAATCCTAAAAGCGCTGCATCCAGCAGCCAGGGGCCTCAAGAGGGGGAGACCCAAAACCGCAGAAGCCTGAAGCCGTTAGCGCCCGAAGCCCTACAAGATCTTAGTAGCAAAGGCCTTGAATGCCCACTATAAATATCACATTATAATATGTGAGTGTGACATGAGGTCCCTAGATTCGAGTCCTCACCCTATGCCGCAAGGCCTAAATCGCGAAAAGGCCAGATACTCTACCCTACACCCCGAGGCAAAAACCCTAAACAATCCCCCCACTCCAAGCAGGAGGGAAAAGAGCTTCCCCCCTTCCCCCAAACAACATATAAATAAAGAACCCCCCCAAGCAGGAGGGAAAGCTGAAGGATGGCTTTAAGAAGGACATGGCCGGGGCCGAAAGCTTTCCGGGAGGGAGAGGTAGGTGTTTATCGGGGCTTGAAAATTCTGTTGGGGCTTTGGCCTTCGTTTAGGTAACTGTTGGGGTTGAAAGGGTTTTAGGCAGGTTTAGGATTAGGTGTTTGGTTTAGGGTTTGGATTTACAGGTCTGGGGCTTTAGGGCCTTTAGGGTGTAAGGTTTGTGTTGGAGGGTTTGCGATTGCCCACTTCTTGTTTCTGGAGCAGGGGTAGGAAAATATTGCCGCGGGCTGAAAGTGTAAGGACCAAGAACGGGTGCGGCAATGCTGCGGCGTGAACTGTTTGCCTGCTTGATGCATCCAACCGGCCCTGCCTTCAGCGAAGATGAGACTTCGAAAGATTTAACTCAAGTGCCCTCTTGGCAGCTAAGTTGCTCACGACTGGGCATTTAAGCCAAAGGGCCCAAGATGGTTTGAAGCATGACTGGCAGTCTGGGTTCAATGCCGGAAGCCTCATCCTCCGACCCTTAGCATTTTCCTTGCAACATCTGCGGTGATAGCATTAAAACAAACCCCTAGACACCCCCCAGCGCCTCCCGGGCCCCCGAGCCCTTTGGGTACCACAAAGCCCGAGTTTGCAGGGCTCCAAGCTTGAGATCCCCGTCGCGAGGTACCCTTGGAAGACCTGAAACCTTCAAAAGCCCTAAGGTCTACCAAGCCCCAAACCCTGAAGCCCCGAAGCCCGAAAAGCTCGAAACCCTAAACCCAAAGCCCTAAAGCCTAATAGAGCTTTAAGCTCTAGCAGCCCATGAGGTCACCCCAGAGGTGAAGTTTGCCGACTTGTCAGAGCTCCACCACGCGCAGGGGATCCCAGCTTTTCAAGGACTTTGCTTGGCAGTTAGGGTTGGAAGGTTTAGGGTTTAGGGTTTCGGTTTGAAGGTTTAGGGTTCGGAGGGGTGTGGAGGGTATTGGGGGGTTTGGGGTAGATGGCAGACTTGACGTAGTCACATGTAGACTAAGTGTAAAGGCAGTGGTCCGTGGCCCTATCTGTGGCTTCTGTTGACTCTACATGACACTTTTCCCAGTTGACGGATCCTCAACAAAATTTCATGCAACGAGAGGAGGCAGAGCCAGCCCAAGGAGGAGAGGGGCTGGTCCTAGCTACACCGCCCTTCTACGCTTGTGCTCCTTCAAGAGCACTAAGCTGCTCGGAGCCCAATCACTGAGCCGCGAAAAGCTGGCAACCTCGCGGCTCGGTAGATCCCTGATCATCAGGTTTGGATCCTAAATCTCCAAGCCATTGCAAAAGGGGGTCTTGAGAACTAGTAAAAGCTATCCCCGACCGCAACAGACCCCACAACTCTCTATTCTACAATTACGGCATTATTTTTAAGCCAGCTCTAGCCCATTAACTGGGTCCTTTTTTGCTTTTGTTTGCAAGACTCTATACAACCTGATACCGACAAGGTTCTTGAAGCCGAAATGCTCACAAATGCCTTATTCAAGCCGACAGGATCTCTTGAAGATCTCATAACCTTGTGTAAAGCCGTACAATCCGCCCCCCCCCCCCACCGAATTGAAGCGTCATGGGTCACGAACTATCTAACCTTCAATCCCTACTATAGGAGTCGGGATCTCAATGATGGTAGCCTCTCAGCCAAGGTCAATCCGCTCCTATGCGCTTCGGATGCAGTCTCGAGTGGATTGCGTCGGGCTTTGGGTTTGAAGGTTTACGGGCTAGGGCTTCGAGTTGGCTCCAAAGCGCCCTGATTGAACTCGGCA